TTTAGAAGGATTTCCATACACAAGGGCAAGGAAGTTTTTACTGGGATGTTCAAAGTGCTTGAAGAAAACGTTCACCAAGAGTCATTTTTTTCTCAGCTACTTTCACCTTATGGACGCCCTGCAAATTCTGTTAGTATCCTAATTACTAATACCTCAAAGATGTTTTATTTTTAGGTATACTAACTAAATCAACATATGCAATATAGACATTAAAAATACTCTTGGGATTAGTTATGGAAAATCAAATATGTTTATGTACATTCTGGGAGTAGGTATGGGGGTATCTAAATAAATATATATGTACCCACATTTAGATATTTAAGAAAACTATTTGGAAACTTACATAAATGTTTTTAGATGCTCTATAAAAACAATATCCTCTGTCCCTTTCATCTAGCTCACCTTATCTCATTTCCTTCAGTAATAAGATTATAATACAAGTATTTAGTACTGTGGGCTCTACAGATCCTTGCATAGTGTGTGAAAAGGAAGTTATTATGTAAAAACACTGAGGTTACAGAATAAAGGTATTGCACAGAAAAGAAGCAAACACAAAGTACTCTTAGAAAATACATGAGCTATATTTAGTATTAACTCTTTCAGACATCCAAAATTCTTGATAATCTATCCTTTTTTTGAATAGGAAACGTTTAATATTTAAGTCAGCAAGATAAAGTCTTAAGAAAAATACCTGTGGGAAGATGTTTTCTTCTAATTAAACACTTTACTCAATCATTTTCATTTGAAAATTGTGGCTGCCTCAGTTATTTCAATGCTAGTGTCATTTTTATGTGCCAATTCAGGAAGCACTAGTATTACTCCATGCATCCTTAGTTATTCATCAAATAAACTGGGAAGAATTATCCCTCCCCCTTCTTGAATTAATAAAACCTAACATTCAAAAACAGCCTAATCCCCAGGCTCTTCTCTTGGTCCAAGTGGTAACAGCACAGCAGGACCACCTTCAACATCAAATATTTTGTAAGCTTTACAGACAAAAACTGTAACTGGGAAAAGGAAAATACAGGTTTAAATTACAAATGTCCTCAGCCTCTCCATGAAAATCAGCTTTTCTAAGGAAGCATCCTAAGAAATATTTTTAATAGGTGGTAAGAGGTAAATGCCTTGCCCACTCATAAAATGTGATGCAGGGAAACAAGAAATTAATGGTTCTTCTATACACTGACAACTAAGAATAACCAAATAATGGAAAGTTTCAAATTTGTCTTTGAGCTCAAAAATATTTAGATCAAAACATTAACCAATAAGCCTGTATAGCACTACATATAACAAAGAAATATAAAAGGAAAAGAAATCCATTTTATAGGAACAAACTGAAAAGTTCATGGCAAACCTACCTAAATTACAAATGTTGCAAAATAAAACAGAAAAAAACAAAGGTTTATGTGGTAAGAAAATATACATTTACTGAATTAAGCAATGGAGGTACAATTCAGTAAAAATAGAACAAAGTGAATCTGAATTGCCCATACTTTAAATGCCATGGGATTTATATTCAACAACCTCCAAAAATGTTCAGGTGCTGAAGAGTTAGCACTAAGTAAAGCATAAACATTTCTAAAACAAGTGAACAATTCTGCTTCTTTCTGTATAATACAACCAAAAGTTGTAGTCACAGAAGAATTTCCCTGAAATTTGTCAAATTCATGAAAATTGCGGCTCATGGAGCTTGGGAAAAGCACAAAATGTATTCCTAAATGTATCCTTGTGGCAATAATGTTTCTGCACTCACTACAACCTAAACACTGAACTTGGGTTTAATATTCCTTTGTTATGTATAACATTACACATTTATCAGTATCTTTTACTTTCCTGGCCAGCAATCTCAAAAGTTGTAATGGACTAGCATGCATTATTTCACAGTGAACCATAATGGAGTGGGGGCCGTGGGGGGACAGAGAGGATAAAGAAAATTCTTTCCCAAAAGTCTGGAGTCCAAAAATAGTAACCACCTCTGGACCTGCAATTTAATTCAGAAATGAATTCAGAATTCTTTCTGCATAGATGCTTACTGTAGATGCTTCAACTGCTGAGAAATCTTAATGTACTCAGTTATTTGCACTCCAGTGAAAATCTTAGCTTTCAGAATAGCTATAAAATATGGTTAAAATAAACCCTGATAAAACAGAAAAATTTCTCCTCACGTTTTTAGTAACACAGAAATGAAGACCACACTAATCAACTAGTGTCTGTAAGTCACTGCAGTAGTTGCACAATTGCCTGTGGGTAGAGTATCACAGAAACTGAGTGTGGTGAAGCAGGATGTTTTCCCCTTTTAGAACCTGAGTGAACTTCAAGGGATTAACACCAAATTCAGTCAGTTCTATAGCACAAAATTCAGACCCTTAATTCTGAATACAAATACATTTTAAGGAGAAAAAAAATGAGGGCTTTAAAACCATGTACCGTAAGGTCAGTTTCACTTCTGTATTATGTGCATATACTGTACTTTCATCTGAAATGTTTTATTACTTGTATTTCATGTTATATAGGTTTTGGACTTGACTGTGTTTTTCCACAGAAAGAAAAATCAACTGTTTTTCCACCTTAATATTCAACCTACCTGCCCATAGTTGTCTATGCCAGTTACTAATCTATTTAAATTTAATAAATCAAAAGCTGTCCTTAAGGATTGGCCAAGAGTCGTAAGTCCTTCAGCCTGAAGGTTTTTCAGTTCATTCATAAACGTTGCATGGTTTTCTTTCCACCCGGCCTGAAAAGAAAAATGTAAGAGTTTTTTTTCATCCTTTAAAGCCATGTACACATGGACAGCCGTTACAATCTGCCGTTCACCAAGGAGCTGCTTCACTTTACAGTATGGTTTGGTTAAGGTGTTAATACCATAGTATCACTGCCGAGGAAAACTCTCTTCAAAGGTGGCCAAGAAAAAAACTTGCTTGCTTACAGCTATTGGTGGCTAACAGCCTTAATACTAACTTCCCTGGGAAATTTACTCCCTAACCTACTACCCAAAATTTGGGCATGCAAAGGTACTAGTGGAAAGCAGAAGTGAGCAGGACTTCTGAAGTTAACCTAGAGCTGGTCCGCTGGCCCGCGGCCCTGGGAGGAAAAATCCGAGCACCTAGCCCCGCAACCCCCCCAGCCGGCTCGCTCGCCACCCCGGGCAAGAGCAGCCGAGCCCCGGGCCGAGTCCCCTTTAATGCAAACCCGGGCTCGGCGCGGCCGGGCCCGGCTGTCACTCGGGCTAACTTGAATAAATATCCCCCACAGTTCATTGCTGCCGCTCACGCCGCGGAGGGGAAATGTCGGCCATGTTGATCGCAGCGCCGCTGCCGCCGCCGCCGCCGCCGGGCCGGGCTGGGGAGGGGACGGCGGTGGCCCGGAGACTCCGCGCCGCGCCAGGACGCTCCGGAGCGGGGGAGGGGGTGGGAGCCCGCAGGGGAAAAGACCTCAGCGCCCGGAGCACAGCTGGTGGGGGAGGGGAGCATAATGAAGGGTGAATGGGGGGGGCGGGGAGGGCGAGCAAGGAAGGAACAGGGAAGGGAAGGGGGAGGGCGAGAGCTGTTACCTTGATAGCATAGGGCGGCTCTTCGAAAGTGACCAGCATATACCTGTCTCCTCTGCTGGCAGGGTCCCGGGCACGGAGCTGCGGGAGAGCGGGTGGGGGACGGGAGGAGGAACAGGGCGGACGAGAGGGAAGCACAGAGGCGAGGTTACGAGACGAAGGGGCGCCCAGCGGCCCCGCCGTCCCCCTCCCCCCCACAGTACCGCACACGCAGCGGCCACCCCTCCACACCGCCCCCCACACACAGATCGGCCCCCACACACCGCCCGGGCCCGGGCCGAGCCCGGCTTGCAGCGCCCGCCCGCCCGCCCGCGCGGTGGGGGAGGGGGTCCCCGAGCCCGGCAGCTCCCGCAGTCAGGTCCCCGACACCTCCGCCTCGCCGCCCCCGGCCGCCCTCCTCCCCCCCCACCCCTGCCGCCCGCGGGCCGCCGGGCCCCGGTCTCCGCCCGGGCTCGGTCAGTCGGTACCTTCATGAAGGTCTCTACCGCGCCTTTGGCCGTGTCCAGGTAGGTGGTGCCCAGATGGCTGCGCTGGTTCATAGAGGCAGACGTGTCTATCAGGAACAGTAAGATGGGCATAGTGCTGGCCGGGGACACCGGGGCCCGAGGTGGTGGAGAAAGAGGAGATGGTAGAGGTGGAGGCGCCGGTGGCGGCGGCGGCGGCGGTGACCGCCGCTACGCGGGGCGGGGGAGCGCGGCCCCCGGGAGGAAAACACCGTCTGGGTCTTTCCTCCGGCTGCGGGGAGTTTCTCCCCCGATAGTTGAGAGGAAACTCCCCAGACCCAGTCCTCCCCGTCGTACCCCCGCCTCCGCCTCCTTCTGCCTGCCTGCCCGCTGGGGCGGGCGCCCGGCCGTCTGTCTGTCGGTCGGTCCGTCCCCCCCTCCTCGGGGGTCCCGTCCCCACTCCCGGCCCCTGTGTGTGTCCCAGCGGGAGACGGGCCTGGCTCCCCACCCCACCCCCGGTGCAGGGAGTGGGGACCTGGGAGCTGGCGAAGAGGGGAGTGGGCTGAGGGGAGATTGGCCCTGGGGCTGTTGGGAGAAGTTTCAGGGACTCCCTCCGCACCCCGGCGGTGTCACCACTTTCTCAGCCCCTCTCGCTACTGAAGCGCTTTTCTCTCTCACACTCCGGTTTTAACTCGGGCAGGGTCTGCAGAGGCTCCGCCCCCTGACACGTCCTCGAGCCACGTGATGCACCGCCCCGCTGTTCTATTGGCTAAGCCCAAGCTTCTTATTAGCATATTCAAACAGCTCAGGGGCGGGGGAAGCTTGTAGGCCGGCTCCGGGAACAGTTATTGAGCACGCGCGGAGGCGGGGGGTCGGGTGCGCGCGCGAGCGAGCGCCAGGGATGAGCAGGCGGGCCAGCAGACGCGGAGGCGGGCTCCGGGAAGGGGCGGGGACGGACCGCGGAAAGACCGCGGGGTGGGGGCGGGGGACGCGGCGGCGCGCGCAGAGCGGCCGCGGCTGTGAGCCTGCGCGTCAGTGCCGCTGGCCTCTCCTTGGCTGTTGGAGGTGATAGGGGTCGGGGGAAGGGAAGTGGAGCTTGGCCTTAGCTCCCCTTGCGAGGTTGCTTTATCGAACCCCCTCCCGGGTGGGCGAAAGAGAAGGGGATGAGTGAAGTAATCAGATACCCGATCAGAAGGGGTCAGGCCCCGCGGTCTTCCTTCCGCGGAGAGCTCCGACCCTGCGGTCGCGGGAGGAGGTTCCTTGGGCCTGGGAGGGCCGGCCCCACCGCGGGCGGGCCCGGGGCTGGGGGGAGGGGAAGTGCGAGGTTGTTTGTGACCAGGGACTAATCTCCGCCAGTCCCACCGCTCTGGGTGAGGAGTGGGGACGAGGGGTCAGTTTCGCCCGCAGTCTCGCTCGGCCTTGGGGAGCGACCTAGGGTGAGGGCTGGACCCGGAGAAGACCGGAAGTTCTCCTGGTGGAGGACCCAACAAAAAGAGAACTAACCCTCTGTTTTCCTAACTTAGCCCTAAAAGGGCATGAGGGAAGACTCAAATATCGATAAACAGTCTGTTGCCCTTTTTATTCTCGGAAAAATAACCGATCCTAGCCAAAGAAATACCTCTCTCAAGCCATGCTTTTTCCTTAGGGCCAAAGAATGTCAATTTCAGAGCTAAAAGTGACCTTAGAAAACTGTAGAACACTTAGGTCGTTTTTATATGGAAAAACTGATTTCACCTTGCCCAGGTGATACATACAGTGGGTTCCCCATAAACCCTTCCAGTGCTCTTTTCTTTCACTGTATCCTGTCTCTAAGACTGGTTCCAAATACAGTGTGAGGTAGGACGTTCTTGGTTAAAAGAACCCCTGTTCACCATGCCCGAAGTAATGAATCCTCTCCTAAATGTCCGAGGAAAACTGTTCACTCAAATATACCAGTTGAAAAACTGAAGACAGTACCTGAACTACAAATTGTGTTCGAGACATACAACCCTTATAAAGACCATGGAGATCTCTATAGGGCCTCTCCTGGTAGCATTGCATTTCGATTTTATTTTTTTATACTGAAATCCTTAATTATTTGCTGCCTGATCATTTAATGAAATTGTTCCTACTAAGCTTAACACAAAAGAGACATGTTTTATGGCACTTTTTAAAAAATCTTGAGTTTATATTGCATAACTTGGACTTTTCCTAATACTTAGGACAATCGCTGAACTTCTTGTCAATTTATAGTGGGGCTATTTCAGTAATAATTGTTTTACCAGTTATAAAGACAAAATTTTTCTTCCAAAGTTATAACTTGCCACTGAAAGATTTTCTTGGAATTGGTCTTCAGTTTTCTGTATCCGTGCTTTTCAAACTGGTCCACAGACCCCTGCCTATCCAAACATGTATTCTCTAGAATGACAAGAATTTCCTTTGCATTACTCAGGTTTGAGAAACACTGCTTCAAAGGATTGGTAGGATTTGGATATGTGAGTAAAGGAAGAGGAAGCTGCTGGTGAAGAAGTCCTTTTAAGACATTGAAAATATAGTGAAGAAAGGAGGTTAGCACAACATTGCCAATGGCTTCCTGGCGAACAGTGAAGTTCAGCTAGGCTGGAGCACTAGGAATGTGAAGAACAGAGTAAGATCCAGAAAGGTAGGTCAGATCTAGACAGGAGGGGGCCTTTATTCCAGACTACAGATTTTTTTCCCATATAAATTACTAAGTACAAAGCAGTGTTTGAAGGGAATGAAACTCAACTACTGAAGTAGAGGAGCATGCATTAATAATGACCTTCCCTGTTACAGTTATTTGAAATTTCCAATAGAGACATCATGGCTCTTCCCTGACTCAATGGAGTTGGCAGATTGTCATAAGTGGAGGTGCATGGTAGAGACAGGGTTAGATGCAAAAATCAGGGGAGCCAAGTCCAGTGAGCCAACCTGGAGCGTATAACCAGAACCTGTGCTTATTACGACACCTGAGATTGAAGGCCAGGTTTCCAGTTCAGAAGCCCAGAAGTGCTCCAAGGCATGGCCCTGAGGCAGAACAGGAAAGAAATCAGGACATAAAAAGGCAGCAAATCAAGAGGCAATCGGAAACCAGGAAGCATTGACGAGTGGTCCCTAGACAAAATTGTGAAATAGGCCAAGTTTATTCTTAGTGACTCTGGTTGACAATGAAGCTCTTGGTTGATGATGGCTTAAAGCAGTAGTTCTGGACTAGGAGATGCACATCAGCATTGCCCACAGAGTTGAAAAATAATAATAAGTGTACCGAATCCTCATACCCAGAGGAAAGGGATTCAGTAGAATTGGGATAGGCCTTGGTCATCTCATTTTTTAAAAAGCTCTTCAGGTGAATCTTATAAATAAGAGTGATTAAGAACTATATGCTTCAAGTATAAAAATAATGTATATGTCTACATCTAGTAATAATAACTTTAAGAATTCACATACTCTTAGAGATATTACATTTCTTAAAAGAACTTCTAAAATAAATCTGCAAACTAAAGCGGAAAAAAACTATAAATGTGACACCATATAGGTAACAGTGGATTTGTATCATATGCTTATTTAAATTGCTTGAATTCAAACATTTTTGACAAAAATTAAAAAGAGAAAACTAAATAGTGTCAGAGATTTCCACTGTTCCCTTCAATGAGTTTAGGCCTCAAAATAAGCATGAAATGGGAAATATGAATCTCTTCTTCACTCAATCTCTGTGATTCTAGAAAGATTCTGGTTATAGGCAGGCTTATTTTTTCTGAAACATGGCCCCTAAATGCAAGCCAACTATTTCATCAGACTCAACTGAAAAAACAGTGAGCTCTTGCAATGCTAGAGGGAAAATGAGTTGAAGTAGTGTGTGCTAAACCCTGTGCTGTTGCAGTCTAGGGGATTAGGGAAGATTTCCCTGGGAGGACATTGGTCAGAAGAGGTATGTGGGAGAAAATTTGCTCTTTGTTGCTGTTTTTAAAGGAGCTCTGCCTAAATGCTATGGCTCCCATCTAAAAGGGAATGCATAAATTATATGAAAGCCTCTGAAGGAGTGGTGACTCTGGCTTAAACAGCCTAAATTGTGGAAATGGGACTATTTTAACAATTAAGAACTGATGAATTAGATTCATTTGTAGGAGCCAACCAGAGCCCTTTTAAATTATTTTAAACCAATTAAGCAGGATAACACGGTTTAAAAATAATAATGTGCCAAGGACTTGGCTTATGGTATCTGGATGTGCCATCTGAACAGAGTAATCAGATAAACCCAATGTTCCTCATATGTAACCTAACAAAAGTTTTTTTGGCTGTCTTACTGTTATCTCAGCTCTCTGCTTTACGGTAGCCCATGATGTTGACAGGTTGAGAACATTAAAAAAAAAAAAAAGCATAAAAATTTAGAGGTGAAATTATGCAGCAGAATGTATTTGGGTATAACATATATAAAGAGATTGAATTTTGGTCATCCTATTATATGATACCAGTCTTCAGAAAAAAATGCTACTATTAAAAGGATATTAGACCTCTCTCCAATAAGCATTATTTCACAGTAATAGTTGAAGTCTCAGATGATTCAAGATCAGTCTTGAAAATGGACACTTCAAATTGAGAATTAGAATCACAGTGGAACAGTTTCTCCAGCTAAAGAACATGAACATTGCAGTAATTCGGTAAATGTTAATTGCATACCTAATACGTGACAGGCGCTATGGTAGGTCATGGAGAGTTTGTAGTCTAATGGAAAGACAGAAGACAGATAAACATGATGAGACTACATAATTATGATAAGTCAGCAAACACCAGGCTTGATAAGACCAGTCTTAGAGGATGGGTTTGAAAATGCAAGGTTATATACATAATTTCATCAATTCTGAGACACCACGGGTTCTAAGAAATGCCATTATTTTTGTACCACTGGAAGGAAAAAAGTGCTAATTAAACTATGACAATGATTTTTTATCAATTAGAATTTTTCCACAATGTATTGAATTCTACCAACCAGGAGGTTTAATAATGGAACATGTTTTAAAAGAATACTCCACTATTGTCTTCAGTATTTTCTTCCAAACCATTGGCTTTTAATCTACAAGTGTTTTTTTTTTTTAAGGGGGGGCGGGGCTAAGAGAGAGGGAGTGAGAGAATTCCAAGCAGGCTCCACGCCCAGCCCGTGCTCAGTCTCACAACCCTGAGATCATGACCTGAGCCAAACATTTAACCAACTGAGCCACGCAGGCGCCCTAATATACAAGTTTCGATGCTCATGCGTTCTTGATCCATCTAGAAGATGTCAGGGAAAAAGTTTTTAGACCACAACCAGGATTTATATCCTCTCTTTAAATGGTTGGTTGCCTGAGATGTCTAGGGTTTGCAATTTGCTAGGCATGCTCCTGGGAATAACCATGCAGTTTGCACAAATACAGCTACACCACACCGCCTTCTGGTGACAGCACTGTAGCACGCTGTTATTGCAAGTTGAATTCCAATTTTAGAGATGTTAAAGTAGAAAGAAATGTACATTTTAGAATCGGGAAGATACTGTTTAGTGCTGGTAGCTCTTAAAATAAGTGTCATGAGAATATACAAAGAGTTTTGCGAGCACTGAAGATAGAGCAGCTAATCTCACAAAGTAGGTGATACTGGAGCAGAGAGAACTCATGGGGCTGGGACGTGTGTGTGGAAGAGTGCTGGGACTGGGGTTGGGCCACATCACAGAGGGTTTCACATGTCTAAGAAATTTGGAATTTTATTTTTGGGTGATAGGGAAACAGTTTTGGGGTAAGGGAGTGATATAATCAAATTCTCATTTTAGAGAATTTCAGTAACAATTGGAAAGCATGATTATAATGGGAAGACCGGGGGGAAGGAGACCAATTAGGCAATTTCTGCATTAACTGAGGGAAGAAACAGGAAGTGCTATGGAAGCAGCACCAGGAAAGTAAGGAGAGGATCCAAAAGACATTGAGGTGCTACTACTAGGTATTTATCCCAAAGATACAAATGTAGTGATCCGAAGGGGCACCTGCACCCCAATGTTTATAGCAGCAATGTCCACAATAGCCAAACTATGGAAAGAGCCTAGATGTCCATCGACAAATAAATGGATAAAGAAGATGTGGTGTATATAGATACACACACACACACACACACACACACACACACAATGAAATACTACTCAGCCATCAAAAAAAAAATGAAATCTTGCCATTTGCAATGACATGGATGGAACTAGAGGGTGTTATGCTAAGCGAAATAATCAGAGAAAGAATTATCATATGATCTCACCCATATGTGGAATTTAAGAAAACAGGATCATAGGGGAAGGAAGGGAAAAATAAACAAGATGAAATCAGGGAGACAAACCATAAGAGGCTCTTAACCATAGGAAACAAACTAAGGGTTGCTGGAGGGGAGGGAGGTGGGAGGATGGTGTAACTAGGTGATGGACATTAAGGAAGGCTCGTGATGTAATGATCACTGGTTGTTATATAAGCCTGATGAATCACTGAACTCTACCTCTGAAACTAATAATACACTATATGTTAATTAATTGAATTTAAATCATAAAAAGACATTGAGGTGCTAGAATTGACAGCACTTGGTGAACTGAGTAGATATAGGCAGAAGCATCTCTTGTGAAATTAAATCCATCTTGTGTCATGGAAACTGAATATCCTCAAACTACTGGTAACTAGATTCCAATAAGAACGAATAGTGTTTTTTCAATCATTTGTCCAACAAATATTTCTTGAATCTCTAGTATGTGTAGGAGCTGGGAATTTAGCAGTGAATAAAGCAGAGGAAAATGCCTGTCCTTATGAAGTTTACATTCTAGTGGGAGAGGTAGACAATAAACAAGGTAAATAATCATATGCTATGTTCACTGCAAGTGCTAAGGAAGAAGAAGAAAGCAGAGAAAGGAACAAAGTGTTGCAGAGGGAGGAAGGTTGCAGTTTTAGATATGGAGAGCAGGAAAGACCTCACTGAGAAAATAACATTTGAGTAGAAACCTGAAAGGAATGAGAGACAGAACTGAAGACAGATTCTAGGGAAAGACAGATTTTCCCATTTACTGAAGTTTAGGAAAACATTTGTGGTTTGAAATGCTGATACATACGAAAGTCTTATCTGTTCAAAGTATTCTTTGCTGATGCTTAGTATTGTTATTCATAATTATAATAATTTGCTGATACTTAATATATATCCTTATTAATAGCAGTATTCTAATAAGTATTCTTTGCCAATATAGGTTCAATATTCACGAAATATTATGGAGAGACTTATCTTAAAGTCAATAGGTACTGTTTTAGATTCTGGGGATTCAGTGTTAAATGAGACAGACCTAATCCCTACCCCCATAGAGTTGCCAGATAATATACAGGACTCACGATTAATTCAGAATGTCAGATAATACATAATTGTTTAATAATATTACAAATATTATTACAAATTACATGGAACATGTAATTTACAAATATTACAGGGAACATATACTAAAACATTACGTGTTGTCTATCTGAAGTTCAAATTTAACTGGTATCCTGTATTTTTATTTGCTGAATCTGGCAATTCTGTGACTTCACTGAACTTACAACCAAAGTACCAGAGGCAGAGATAGTAAATACGATTAGCATCCAGTGGATATGTGTAACCTAGGAAGCCATAAAATGGAAGGCATGTGACTCTAAATGTGTGGAGAAAACCTGCCTGTGAACCAAGAATGCCCACCCTTAAGAGCAAGAAATAAACTTGTGTTTGAGCCATGTGTTTGGATCCATTCGTATCATTCTTTGTTATACCAGCCTAGCCTAACTAACTTAATGTGTGGGTCCCTGAAATCTATGATCATGCCCAAATATACTCCAGAATCAAAAGTTTTCATGTAATGTACCAACAACTTAAAAAAAATATGTAAATAAAAGCAACAGAGAGGTAGGCCAAACCCTAAAATGCTTGTACTATATATAATCCTCATTCTAACATAACTTTAAACCTGAGTGTTTTGAAGGCAGGCAATTTTTTAAAATTACATAATTTGACGGTTTCCCTAAGCAACTAACACTATTATTCCTAGCTATTAAAACATTTTCAATTATTTTCTTCGTTCAGTTACTGAATGTAGAAAGGTGTTGTAGGCATTGAAAATTATAAACAAGACATGCTTTCTGACTTTAGAAAGTGTAGGGCCTAGTAGAGGACATAAAGATATATAATAGTAGGCAAAATATAATCAGTGCCAAAAGATAAGTGCAAATTGTATCTCTAATTGAAGTGAAAAGTTCAGACTAGAGAAGAATAGAATATAGCAACTGAATGAGGAAGCTTTTTTTTCTTCAAACCTTTACTGTTTTCTATCTTCAAATTTTATTTAAAAGAATGTGTCAAAATGTACAAAATACAAAAATAACAGAAAAATAAAAATCACTTTAATCTCACTACCCAGACAATACCACCGATAACATGTTAGTATATATCTCCTCCTTTATATTTTAAATAAAATTGGGGTCTTTTTATATATGCTTTTCTGTACTTTTTTTCTACTTAATATAATGTGAGCATTTTTCATTAAATGAATTTTAAATATGGCTTTTAACAAATGTACAATATTCCATGCCATGGATGGACTTGTTGTCTTGACTTATTTTCCTCTTATTAGTAGATATTTTATTTCCAGGTGTTTTACTTTTATCAATAATGATGCATTGACCAGCCCTGTCTCTGAATCTTTGTAATAATTCAACAACTATTATTTGAACACCACCTACTGCTCTGGATGTTGGAGATACATTAGTGAACAAATAGTCCCAAATCCCTGCCCTCATGGTGGGGAAGGAGAGAGAGATGATAAATGTGTAAACTCTAAGTTATATCAGATAGTGATAAATGCTCTGGAGAAAAAGCAGGGAAGAGGAGTAAGTGGGAAGACTATATGTTTCCCTTTTAAACCCGTGCTATAGAAATAATTAAAACAGGGAGTGGAATTTGATAAATGCCCAAAAAAAGAAGTTCAAAAGGCAATGAGGTAGCACCTGGGTGGCTCAGTCGGTTGAGTCCCAAGATGGAGTCCTGCGTCCAGCTCCCTGCTGAGCGGGGAGTCTGTTTCTCCCTCTGACCCTACCCCCTGTCATGCTTTCTTTCTCTCACGTGCTCTCTCTCAAATAAATAAAATCTTAAAAAAAAAAAAGTGCCATGAGAATCATTTACCTAAGAGGACAGGTCAAGAAGGAGAAACAAACACTTAGCGGGCAACTCGACTTGGCCAAAATAAAGAGAAAAGAGAATTTCGGAAAGGAGACTACGCTTCTTCCAAAGTTACTGAAACATCAAATAGAGTGGAGACTGAACAAAAACCATTAGATCTGAGAAAGCCATTGTTGACTTTTATAAGGTTCTTGTTAAAGGAATATGGAGACAGAAGAAATAAGGTAAATTAGATCACCAGGGATTTTAGTCAATTGAAGGCAGAAAATATAAACTTCTCTTTTTGCACTGAAAAGGAGGATGGGATGGTAGCTCAAAGGACCAAAGAGAACCTTTATTTTAAGGTAAAGGAAAAACCCAATATGTTTTTTGTTTTTTTTTTTTAATTTTATTTATTTATTTGAGAGAGAGAGAATGAGAGATAGAGAGCACGAGAGGGAAGAGGGTCAGAGGGAGAAGCAGACTCCCCGCTGAGCAAGGAGCCCGATGTGGGACTCGATCCCGGGACTCCAGGATCATGACCTGAGCCAAAGGCAGTCGCTCAACCAACTGAGCCACCCAGGCGCCCAGGAAAAACCCAATATGTTTTTAAGTAAAGAGCAGAGGAGAACTGACGGTGTGAAAGACATATGGTGGGTCTCAGAATCAGGACAGACAGGGTCAGGAGCATAGCTGGGACATTGGGATGTGCAAGAAGGGGCACTGACTTCTCTGAGACCAGAAATAATGACAAGAATATAAACAATGCCTAGCACAGTGCCCAGTGCAATGGTTAATTTTATGTGTCAACTTGACTGGGTCATGGGGTGCCCAGATATTTTGTCAAAGGTTATTCTCAGTATGTCTGTGAGGGTGTTTTTGGATGAAATTAACATGCAAATGGGGAGACCAAGTAAAGCAGATGGCCTTCCCTAAAGTATAGGTGGGCCTCATCCAATGGAAGAAGTGACTAGAACAGAGACTTACCCTCCCACAAGTTAGAGGGAGCTCCTTCTGCCTGACCGTTCAGCTGTGACTTTGTCCTTTCCTGCCTTCAGTCAGATCAGCATTGAAACATTGGCTCTACTTGGGTCTTGAGCTTGCAATCTCGTGGACTAGAACTACACCAGCAGCTCTCCTGGGTCTCCAGTTTGCTGGCTGCAGATCTTAGGACTTCTCAGCCTCCATAATTATGTGAGCTAATTTTTTATTTTCTCTCTCTCTCCTTCTCTTTCTCTGTCTCTCCATCTCTCTCCCTCTCTCTCCTGTTTCTGTTGGTCCTGTTTCTCTGGAGAACCCTGATTAACACGCCAGTACATAGTACTAAATGTTTAATGTGTATATGTCGAAGGACAGAAGCCATTATAGAGAAATTCAGAGGTGAAGAGGATGGATGCTGAGTTATGGGAAATGGATGGCCACCAAAGCTGACCAGGGAGACCCAGAGCTAAGCTGAATGCTCCAGGGAAATCCCTTTAGTGCTAATAGGGAACAGTATGGACAAGCAAGCAGGTCATCTGGACTCTTAACAGGCCAAAGATCCTGGCTGGCAGGTGATCGACCTCTTACAGATTCAGCAAGCATTCCTGTAAGTGGTCAGAGCTCGGAGTCAGGAAGGTGATACAAATAGGCAAGGACCAAATGTTCTTGGCATCAAGGGAATGGGAAGAAAACAAACATTTCATTGCCTACTTGTACCAGGCACTCTGCTAGAGCTTCCCATGATCATTTAATCTCCAAACCAACCTGCCAGCTAAGTGTTCTTACTTTTTCAGAGAAGGCATTGGGAGACCAAGAAATATTAATGAACAAAGTTCAAAGTCACAAAGCAGAAGAAAACTAGAACCTGGATCTGAATTCAGAGGCATAATTCTGGGCAAGTCTGGCAGGAGTTATCATTGACCCATCCGTGGGAACTGGTGCTTAAGGACAGAGCTTCAATCCCTGTGAAGACCAGAGGAACTGGGATACCCAGCAGGAAACACAGGGTGGAGACTCAGGCGTGGGAAAACGACAAGGACAAATCTTTTATGAGGGAGGAATTTGCTCGTAAGAACAAGATGGAGGGGCACCTGGGTGGCTCAGTCGGTTAAGTATCTGCCTTCAACTCAGGTCATGATCCCAGAGTCCTGGATCGAGCCCCGAGTTGGGCTCCCTGTTCAGCGGGGAATCTGCTTCTCCCTCTCCCTCTGCCCCTCCTACCGCTCATGCTCTCTATCTCTTTCAAATAATAAAATCTTAAAAAAAAAAAAAAAGAACAAGATGGAAAGGATAAAGGGGTGAGAGCTTCTAGGATATTAGTGAGAATGTCATTTTAACATTCAGTTCACTTGTCTCCGAAGACCCATATTCTAAAACAGTGAATAAAATATCTTAACATCTTATTATGCGATATCTATCATTGATGATGGGCACATAGGAGCTCTCATGACATCCACCTAATTTGCAGATTAAATGATGCTCATTGTTCCCTCTTTAAAACATGCCCACAGCATGGTATACGCTCAAAAGTAGTAGAATTCCCTTTAATATAATTGTGAACTTCTGCCCTCCCTGCAAGTTCCATGCTTGTGTAGTTGCCTTCTTCCCTCAAGCCCCTCTATACCACTTGAACTTGTCATTGTAATCGTGTTAATTATTATGTAAACCAACAGAATGTAAAGTCACTGCCGAAATTGCTGTCACCAAATTAGATGTAAGCAAGAAAATTTGCAAAAGCCCAGAAAAAGTAAAAATTTACAAGTATTTTGCACTTCAAAAGATCGGCAAAGGAAATGTAGTTCAAGTTAAAATAAAAAGTTTAAGGTATGTAGCATTGTTTTCTCTTTTCTGTGCTTTAACTGACTTTTGCGATTCACCAACACTACCAGTGTTGGATGAGAACGCTTTTACTCTACTCTGTATTGTACTTGGAGAGCACTTTTGTTCATTCTTTCTCAGATAAAAGCACAATCTGTCTAGTAAAGCAAAATTCAAGACCGGAGTCCATGTTCTTTCATTGACGCCATTCAGCACTTTTACGTGAAACCTCAGTACAGAGTATAATACTACCTGTCTGATGAGGCCAGTCCTCTAAATCTTAGGGATAGTGTGACTCCTACGTACTCAATTTTGCATTGTGAACGCTTATGGCTTACTACTATTCAGAAGATTACTGGGAATTATGCATTTGGAGGCCAGATTGTTGCTGTTGTTTTATTATAGGCCAACATGTACACCATTTTAATAGTTCTGTCCATAAGGAATCTTAGAAATAATCTAGTGCAATTCTCTTGTATTAAAGATAAGGAAACTAAGGACTAAGGTTGAAGACACTTGCCCAAGGTAAAAAAATTATTAAAATAAAATTAAGGGACATGTTTAAACAGCCCCTTACTTTGTATCTTCCCCATGATATACAGCACTTTTAAAAAGAAGTTCTCAAAACACTTTTTTAAAGCAGATCGTTAATGATTCTGATACCTGTGCATCCAATTATTATCCTATTTTCCACCAGCTGGGTTACCTCCTCTCAGACACTGAAAAGTCAACATTTTCTTTGCAGATGAATCAGTTGAATGGTTGCATTCATCCATAAATAAGAAACCTGAAAAACAAAGGTTATTTTTATCACATACACCACTGGTAGGCAGTCCAGGCAGGCCTCATTTGTCCACTCTAAGTTTTATAATGTCATTAAGAACATGAGGCTTTCTCCATTTTCTTGTTCAGCCAATCTTAATGTGTGCTTGTCAACTGGTAATTAGCTATTTCACCTCAAGTATTGTAGGTTTGCACTGGCAGAAGTAATGGGAAGAAGAAAAGAAAGCATGTCAGCTGAGCTGGACTTGCTTTAAAAAGAGATTTTCTGGCACCACTCCTAATAATTTCCTCTTAGATCTGATTGGCCAACTGTGTTACTTGGCCCCTCTTATCTGCATAGTGGCTGCACTCTGTGTTGGGAGAGCAACCAGCAGTTTCTATCACTGCAGGACTGTTGCCAAGATTAAGAAGAAGGTATGTGTGGTACTTAGTATGTGCCTGGCATCTAGTAGATGCTGAAAAACTGGTAGCTCTTATTTTGTTAGAAAAAAATGAAACTAGTGATGACGTCTCCAAACTTCCTCCATAGTAATTACGAAGTGTGTTAGACTTGCGAAGAATCTAGTGTGGTAATAAAATAATTTTTAGTAGAAAAGCAAGTTTTTTACTAAACTTCTGTTTGACACTAAAATATTGGCATAGTAAATAAATACATACATACATACATACATACATACATACATACATACATACAATATAGGTAACTTTTTTTTTTAAATAAATTTTTTTTTTTTTAATTTTATTTATTTATTTGAGAGAGAGAGAACGAGAGATAGAGAGCACGAGAGGGAAGAGGGTCAGAGGGAGAAGCAGACTCCCCACTGAGCGGGGAGCCCGATGCGGGACTCGATCCCTGGACTCCAGGATCATGACCTGAGCCGAAGGCAGTCGCTTAACCAACTGAGCCACCCAGGCGCCCACAATATAGGTAACTTTTAAAAACTCATTTGATTAACCAGATCATCATCTTGGAAAATGGTCAATAGTTTTTAATGTTCAGCATAGTCTCAAAAATTTTAAATATAAATGACACTATTTATATTTGTGTTTTATGAGTTAGAAAATATTATGTTTAATTATCATTAAAAGTAGTTTTTATCATAACTGAAACATGCTCAAATTAGTGACATGTTGAGAAAATCTCTGTCAAACCGTTAAAACGTGACCACAAATACCCATTCGTATTATTCATATATTGTTAAGTAAAGACCTTGACCTTCAAAAGATGTATCTGTGGAGATCACTGGGTCTCTGATTTCAGTTGCAAAATTTCTAGCTTGCAATAAACACTGCCATTAGAATGGTAATACCAGAAGTTTTATGTGAGGTACTTGATTTTGTGAAGCAACAATAAGAAAAAAAAAGACAAATATGTATTTTATAAGAAAATTAATCATTTTAGCATAAAAAATAAAAAATATTAGCAGAATTTCATAGATATAAAAATACCTAGAACTAACATCTGCCTCACACATATGCTATACCGGGGAGGCACCCAGTCAATCCCATAATAAAACAAAAACCTCAAGCACAATCCATTATTGTGTTATACTACACTATTACTATTACTATGTAAAATGTTTTGAAATGAGTAGGCAAAAAAAAAAATAGTTCACATAAACCTCTACCTAAATGCTTTTCTTAAAAATGAACTAAATATGAGAAGGGTGTGTGTGGGGGGGTGTATAATAAAAGGAAGGCAATCTATCCTTTTTAAAAGTCTATATGCTTAGGGCTTTACAAATACTTCTATTTCACAATCTTTATGACAACTTTGAGTAGTCAATACTCCAGGAAGGGGAATCATGTGGAAAGGAGGCATCAGAGAGACACTCTAAGTGTCCCAAACAGGGACTCAAGAGCTGCAGTTCAAAGGTGAGTCAGACTCCACAGCGTTTGATTCCTCTACTCTGTGCCCTAAGCACCTAATTGTCCCATGAATAGGACTTAGCCTCTTTGTTGTTCATGTAGCAATTCTGTGACTTTTGATGTCAATAGATGTATTGTGGTTTTAATTATCAAATCTGTGAAATGTAATTTCAGTTCAGGGTTCTTCTTCACAATACAACCCAAGACAATACAAAAATGTAGTATAAAGAAATGAATAATTAAACGAATTTAGCCAATTTATGCAGTTTAAGCCCAAACTGTTTGGTTACAAGGTCTGTGTTTTTTTCCTCTATTATTACTGAAATACTTGACTCAGTTATCCAGTTAAGTTTATATACATGTTCATGTACATATATCTGCAAATTGCAGTTTTTAACTACCGTAGTTCTACCAATTAGCAATAATCGCGCCTCGGATAAACCTCACTGGCTACGATACTGCCACTGCGCAAAGTGGCAGTATTATTTTTTTTAAATGTTTCTTTTCTTTTTTTATTTTTTTAAAGATTTTATTTATTTATTTGAGAGAGAGAGAATGAGAGATAGAGAGCACGAGAGGGAGGAGGGTCAGAGGGAGAAGCAGACTCCCTGCCGAGCAGGGAGCCCGATGCGGGACTCGATCCCGGGACTCCAGGATCATGACCTGAGCCGAAGGCAGCCGCTTAACCAACTGAGCCATGCAGGCGCCCTTTTTTTTTTTTTTTTTTAAGATTTTTTTTTTTTTTTTTACAGTTGGAGAAAGGAGGGGGGGGAAAACAAGCAGGGGGGGGGGGAGGGGGAGAAGCAGGCTTCCCGGTGAGCAGGCCGCCCAATGCAGGGCAGTTTTTTTTTTTTTTTTTTTCTCCACCCCTCCAGTCTTGTTTTCCTGTTGACAAAATGAAGGCAGAAACTTGCCCTTGGGTATGGAGTGGGGGCAGGGTACAGAGCTGAGAGCCTCCTGCCCCCAGGGGAAATTTTCTAAAGGTTCTTGTGCGCAAAGCTTACCATAGTTCTACCAGGGAGCACGCACCTGTTTCTTTTCTTTTGACCTTTTCCTTGCGTATTTTTCTCTTCGCTTGGATCTATCCCATCATCTGTGGTTAAGCCTGTAGTATACAAGTCTTTCTCTTTCTTTATTTCGTCTAGCCTTATTCCCCGTCTCCCAGCTCCATGCCAGAACCCTCACCCCCAGTCCAAGGTAGCACATATCCTACTCTTACCTATAGCACTTGCTGCAGCATCATCATTTCATTAGCAATATTCTCACTGCCAGAAGTCAGGCTCAGCTGTGAAGGAGGATTTGTTTAGGCATAATGGCATCAATATTGAAAAGATATTTTTGATATCTTTTAAAAAGAACCAAAATCAAATGCAAGTCTCTCTTTAATCCATTGGATCTTTACAGATTAAAAAATGAAGTTCAAGTGCACTTCTTTTCTCTCACTAATGCATCCAACAAGATCCTTTTATGCTTTAAGGAGTACCATTTTCACTTTCATAGAGAATTCTCAAATCTATTAGCTGCTCAGATCTGATAGTTTGCTCCTTTCTGCAGATCAGGCTAAGCAAACTCCCAGGGCAGCAAGCCACCAGGAATTCCAGTTACAGAAGATTGCCATATTCCTTCACAAAAAGGGCCTGGAAAGTGCTAGCACACCCTATTCCTCTTAACCATCCCTAGCCCTCACTCAAAGAAAGGACAAAGGTTAAATAAAAATGTGTCTGGCATGGTAGATTTTTTTAGTGAAATAAAAAATGTATACTCATATTATGGATAAGCTACAGTTTAAAGTATGTCCTGCCTTCTTTTCTCAGGTATAAAAATATTTCAAGGCAATTTCAGTAAACTGGATTTCAAGAAACTCCTAAAACATTTTTTGTGAGTTGCTTTCATTTTGTCTGAATTTTAATGTGTATTTCAAACACATTGCTATACCAGAGTATATAGGTTTGGTTGTCATTTCATAGTTGTCAAAGGGAAATTCTTATTTTAAATCTCTACCTCATCATTAAAAAGTTCTAATAATAAAAGGCCTAAATTTTAAGTCCTTGGGGACATCAAAGTATCTCCTTTACTATGTTGTTGAAGCTCTGGCAGCATGTTGCAAAACTGATATGTAATAGACAAAGAGGGGAAGAACAAAACTGGACACAGTTACCTGGTTGTTGAGAGTACAAGATTATAAAATATTTTGTTTAAAACTAGTGGGCTATTTTAATAAGTGAACCAAGAAAGGGTGGGGGAGCTCCTAGATGTATCTATTTTAGGACACATCTTATCATTGACCCCTTTTCCTCCTTAAGTAAATGTATTCCTCATACATAGCTCAGAGCATTGTTACAACATCCTTGGGAAAGCAGTCATTTTAAAATGGAGTTAAAAGTCCACATTGCAGCCTTGAAATGTGGTTGAGTCGTGTGATGACCTTGGAGACTTAGCTCCAGTTGTGCAAAGTCTCACAAAGTGGACCTAGCGTAGATTAGAAAAGACAAAACTCCTGAATTCTTTTTTATTCTACTAAATATGTTTACTTGTTATGGTCTCCTTGAGCAAGTGTTGGCATTGGTAGAAGGGCAACGGGCATTTGCCTAATGGTCTGAAGTTTGATAGCCAAAAATAAACATAAGGGGAAAAAAATCATGACTTTCAGATACATGACTTTGAGACTTGGCCCAGGCTGAATTCAAGTTTACCTTTGCACTAAAAAAAAAAAAAAGTTTGTTAGGCAAATGGGTAAATGGTAGTTTATCATACTTAATAATGAATGTCAAAGTATCCAAGATCATTGAGGCTCCAAATCATTTATTCACGAATAATGAAAGCATGGCAAACACATATAAAAATTACCTAATTTTCATAACCTGACCCTTTTCTTTTACCTATGAGTTGTGTTGGTGTATTTTTAAAGTTACAAAAGTTTTTAAAAGTTACAAACTTATAAAAACTTACAAAACTGTTAGAAAAGTTGTGATTAAATAGAGAGAGAGGAGTATGTGTCTATTTATTTTGATAATTAAATTCAGTTGACAATTCTCAACTGGAGATCATTAACTGGGAAACATTTGGAAATGTATGAGGGCACTTTTGGTTTCTCAATGACAGAAGGCAGACGCCCAGCAGAGAGCTACCGACATTCAGTGCCAGGAGCTAAGAATACGAAACATCCCGCTAAGTAGGGGACTCCCTGAACAACCATGAAATGCCAGTGGTGCTGTCACCCTTGAGAAACACAAGGGACCGAGCCATTACAAGTAAATGAAGCGTTTGTTGTGAAGAAGTACAGAGGCAGAGTGGACTGTGGAACTGCACAGCTAGAGCTCAAATCCAATATCTGGCTGTATGACCAAGGCCACGTTAATTAAGTGGTCTAAGACTCAGTTGCCCCACCTGTAAAATGGGCATACTAGTCTAGTATAACTGCCTCACAGAATTTTGTTGTAAGGAATAAACAAGTTAAAATATATAAAGTGCTTAGCATATGGTAAGCTCTCAATGTCGGCTACTGCTATTACGAAGTCACTCAAGTCCTTCATTTTATGTTAATTGGAGTGGGTGAGAGGATGTAGAAATATATTTTTTAAAACCTGAGGCTTCTAAATTTAAAAATCTTCAGTCTGGAATCCATTATGTGTCCAAAGGTATTTCTTGATGATGACAACCATCATGTAAGCATGCTCTCCGTCATTAAATGTATTCAGCTGAAGCAGGAAGAGAAGGTTGAGTGGGAGCAGGAAGCACTCCCAGGTTAAAGAAAATTGGTGTGGGCTGAAAAAAAGGAAAGTGTAAGGTGGACACTTTATAGGGTGAAGGGATGCACAGGAGATCTCAGCAAATTATAATGGTGAGATTACACAGTGGTGAGTACAGCTGATGAGATGCAACCAAGGAGAGATTAGTAGTAACCTAAGACCGTAAGGAAAAACCAAGTCCAGATGACAATCAAGTTGGAGAACATTTGTGGAACATTGTGCACTTTCATGGGGTCTGTAAGCCTTGAGCCTATCAGTGCCGACTGGGAACATTCTGAATAGTTAAATGCTTCTTTCTGTAAGAGAGGAGGCTTCCCGCTCTGCAGTGAAATCGTGGATTTGTTGTTTGCACACAGAAGGCCTTGTTTGTGTAACACTCATTTTTAACTATGATTCAGTCTTTTGAAACCCGTAAAGGAAAAGCCAATGAGAACCAGTTTTACTTCTACTAAGAATTTAAAAGCCCAAAAGTGAATACTGAATTAATCTTAGTGTTTTATATATTTAAAAAACAACAACTCAATCCAAACAAGAATGAGGTTAGTGTCTGTAGGAAGAATAGAATAGTTCATCACAGGTGGATGGGACGCATTTTTCATAAGTACAAATTAAGCAGCCTGAAACAAAAGGAACTAAAGAGAAAAAAGAATACCAGTCGCCCTTCTAATTTTTTAAAGTTCTGTCAACTGTCAGATGTTTTATGTGATGATTCAAATGATCAAATATTTTCATCACAAATAGATTTTAGTAATATCACCATTAGTAGACATCCAAAAATAGCAGTGATAGTACTATGTTGATTCATTCTCTTTCAAAGACTGAGTCACAAAGGACAAAATCTAGTGAATTGGATATGATGACAGCCATCCTACTTCCCCATCTGTCTCTTTTGGCCCTCTCACCCCCCAAACCTTTGCATCACTCAAGATTCAATATCTTCTATTATATTCTTTAGCTATACACTTGCATCGGGCACACACACTTTCTGGACACTTTCTCAAAGTCATCTTACTGGCTTTGTGGTGAATGTTTCTCAAAACTTGGTCTCCAGCATTGGCCCCTTGCTCACACTCCAGTCATCATGGTTCCAAGAACTCTTAGAAATACCACTTAAGTACAAAAATTCTAGCCTAACACGTACACATTTCCTTCTTACACCTTGCATCCAGTCAACAAATCTGGTCTATTTTCAGAATATATCCAGAGTCTGATTCCTTCTCTTTGCCTCCGACCTGGCCCACACCGCCATCAACTCTTCCCGGATTATTGTAGCCTCCTCCCTGGTGTCCGGGCTTCCACCCGTACCCCTGACCCACCTCACCCTTCTGAACACAACAGCCACAGCAGTGCTTTTTAAAATGAAAGCCACCTCCTAACTCAACTCTGCACAAAATCCTCCAGGGGCATCCCATTTCCTGCAGAATAGAGACATAAATTTCTTAAGCTCTGTAAGGTCCTACCCGATGAGACCCTGACCTTGTCTCTTCCTCTGCGTTTCTTTGTTCACTCTCCCCGTCATTCCCTCTGGCTGGAATGCACACCCCCAGACACCTGCATGACACAACCACCTCTCCTGGAGGCGTTCACCTAAACGAGTTCTCAGTGAGGACTTTTCTGACTCCTTGAGTGCCCTTCCCCACTTTACTGTTCTCCTCAACACTTATCATTGGCGTGAACTGCGGTTTACTTATTTATTGTTTATTTTGTGTCTCTCCACACTGGAAATGTGGGGGCAAGGATCTTTGTTTTGTTCACAGATAGATTCCCAGTGTCTAGAACAAGGCCTAGCACACAAACATCATTAAATGAATATTTCTTGAATGAATCCAAAAATCTCCGACTCTTCTAAAACCAGCTTCTAATAAAGACTACCCTATTTTTCCTAAAAGTCCACAGTTTTCTCCTGCTAAAAATCCATCTAGACTCAGAATTCTGCAGTTGTCTTTGTCGTCTGACTAGTTGCTAAATCCTTTCAATTCCACAATGTTACTGGACTCTGTCCCCCTCCTTTTTATTTCTGCTGCTACCACCCTCATTAATGACAGCAGAGGTTGGAATCAGAAGACTTGGGTTTGAATTCCATCTCCACCATTCCCCAGTTATAAGATTTGGGCAAGTTCATTTGGGGTGGGGTGGGGGAGAACGTCTCAGTTCTTCATTGGTCAAGTCATACCTATTTTATAGGGTGGTTATGAGTATTAAATAAGATAATGTATCTAAAGCATGTAATTGTACCATATGAGCTCTAAGGAATTTGGGAAACAAAACAGATGAACACATGGGAAGCGGGGGGAAGAACGAGAAGGAAGCAAACCATAAGAGACTCTTAACTATAACAAACTGAGGGGTGATGGAGGGAGGTGGGCAGGGGATGGGCTATGTGGGGGATGGGCATTAAAGAAGGCAGTTGTTATGATGAGCCCTGGGTAATGTATGTAAGTGATAAATCACTGACTTCTACTCCTGAAACCAATATTATACTACATGTTAACTGACTAGAATTTAAATAAAAATTTGGCAGATTAAAAATAAATAGAGCATTTATTTGTGCCTGACCCATAGTAAGTGATTAATCTATTCCCTCGTGCCTGATCCATGGCAATAGATTTCTAACTCATATCCCTTCTCCTTGTCTGATTCCTTTTTAATACTTCATATCATTACTACCAAAAAGGTTTTCCATAAGTATTGCTTTGATCATGCTACTCAACATGTTACTCGACAACTTTCAAAATCTTCTTACAGAGAAAGGAAATTATAATTTGAGTGCCTGAGATACTATTATACATGTTTCAGATACTATTATACATGTTTCATAATTTGATAATTTAATAAACCCAAACCAATTCATCTAGCACTCAAAGCTTACCCAAATCTGCCTCTCTTCTTCTTAGCCACTGTGGTTAATTTTGTATGTCAGCTTGGCTAGTACAGTACCCAGATATCTGATAAGTACCAGTCTAGATGTCTCTCACTCTTCCTCTTCCTTCCTCCCTCCCTCCAAACACACATCCTATTGGTTCTGTTCTCTGGAAAATCTCAACACACTAGCCATATGAAGACCTATCAGGACTTGTCCTATATGGTCCATCTCCTCCCTAATTTGTAACCACTCTAGCCAGAAGTGTT